CTATTCTATTCTATTCTATTCTATTCTATTCTATTCTATTCTATTCTATTCTATTCTATTCCATTCCATTCCATTCCATTCCATTCCATTCCATTCCATTCCATTCCATTCCATTCCATTCTAGAAGTTTATACTGGGAAATGTAACATTTGTCAAGTCTTGTGTTAGGGTTGACTGTTAGAACCTTGTTACTGTCTACTTTCTGCTGAATTCTTGCCACAGGCAAGAATTATCGAGCATTTCACAGGCTCACAGCTTTGCTGAAACTGAATACTACAGCATTTTAAAGTAAATTTCTTTGCCCAACTGGGAGGGTAGGTGGGTGGGTGGGGGCTAAAGAATGAATGAGCAAGAAGTGCAGACTCACCATGTATAGCAGCACTTTTTAAGGCATTTTGGAACTCTGTGGTGTCCAACTGAATTCCCAGAGAGTCTACAACGGACTCCAGTTCTCCAGGGTCAATGGTCCCATCCTTTATCTTGCTGAAGGCCTCAACAGCAGAGTGAATTGCTATCATAAGAAAGATCAAGCATAAGCCTTGAAGAAAACCAAAGTATTTTGAATGATGGCTGAAATGGAAATTGAACAAGAATATAAAGACCTCTGATTCAAACATATTTACAAGTGGCAAGATACCAGTTCTACCATTCAAACTCATTAGAAAGTTTGCATTTCTAAACAAACAAAACAAAGCCCCCTGTGTGTCATAACTGCCCACTTAATTATAATGTGTACTGCGTTTTAGGACAGAGAGTGATGAAAGAAAAAGAATAAAGAGAAGGAAGTAATAAAATACTTTTTCAGCTGAACTTTTTTCTATATGAAATATTCTTCCTGGTAAAGCCACTTGGACAGATCTCTCTTTGCTTTTGCAGGATGATAAAAGTTATCTTTATCTGAATTCCATTCCTGCTGATATTCCATTACTATTAGCTATGATTTTCACATTTTTAATTTATAAAAAAATTACATTACTTTGGGACTTAAAAATAAATTCAATAAAAATATGGTTAAGGTGTAAAAATGTGGCAAAGGAGTGAAAAGAAGAAAAAACTTGTTTTAAAAATGAGAAGAATCATAACAAGAATTACTGCCTTTCAGATCATGTGAGATTATGCCTTGGAAACTGTTAAACATATGGTTCAACTTTAATGTTTTTAGAGTTCTGTCTTGCAAAGATTGCTCAAGTCACTGTTGTCAAGAACTGTTCTCATTTCCCCAAAAGTCACTCTTAAGTTACAATTCTCTTATGTGAACTGGTGACTTTGTGGTGACTGTGAGTTTGCTAAAAGTGAAAGGAAATTTGCTGCCTACAGTTATGGCTTAGAATGGACAATGACGATATTAAAGTGGTAGGTAGCTTCTGCCTTTTAGGATCAACTATCAACGGTAAACGAACCAGAAGTCAAGAAATACACTGCAGCCTAACACATGGTAGGGCAGCAATGAAGGCCTTGGAAAAGACATTCAGATCCTGTGATATGTCTGTCACTTCAAAAATCAGAATCATGCAGGCAATGTTTTTTTCCCTGTGACATTCTTTAGAAGTGAAAGTTGACTTTGAAAAAGCAGGATAGAAAGAGTATCGACACTTTTGATCTTTGATATTGGAGAAACTCTTGAGAATACCATGGATTTTATTAGGAAAACAAATCAATCATAGAACAAATCAATCTAGAGTTCTGACTTGAGGCACAAATGGCCAGGCTCAAATTATCATATTTTGGACACATTATGCAAAGACCCAGCTCCCTTGAGAAGTCCATAATGCTGGGAAGGAAAGAGCAAAAGAGGATGACCAGTAGCAAGGTGGATGGACTCAATTACAACAGTGATGGGTTTATTATTGAGAGTCTAAAAGGGCCAGCCTGGGAACAGATCTTTCTGGGGAAGGTCTGTTTATGTGTTCACTAAGGGTTGACAGTGACTTAATCAGAATTATGACATTTTTGTGTTGAGTAACTTAAATGGTTTCCATTTTATGAATTAAAATATCTATCTTTAACAACTGGATGAAAGAGTAAAATCATTAGCAGATTAAAGTAAAAGCTGACAATCAATTCACATGCCAAGTACTATATATATGTGTGTGGCTGGATGTGTGATTGACAGATTTTCAGCATTCTTGCTTGAAATCTCATAAGATACTAAATGGCCACATTTCATCAATGAATTGAAGCTACTTAAACAAACAAACCACCATTTACCTAGACACCACATTGCAAATTCCTGCATTAAACTTATTCTGGCATACAGGAAAAGTATTCAGGATTTCTGAACAAAGCTTTGTTCACTCCCCTGACCTCCCTGCCACAACATATGACATTTGGTGATGCTGCTGGTTTTCATAATTAGGGATCTGACATAACTAGATATTGAACATAACATGAACTAAGGCCTTCCATGGTGCCAGTTCTTTCAGGAACGTTAATTAAGAAGATTTACATTCTGGAAGTTCTAAAAATGAATTTATAATTCATAATCAATGCAAATGATTAAGCAATATTTGAGGAAATTTTTATCCTTTCCTTGGGAAGCCTAGCGAATACAAAGAAATGGCCACTTTGTGTTGTTAAGAAATCATTGATAAGGAGTCAGACAGAAGGGAGAAAAAGAAAAATCTTCATTTTCCATTTCCTTCCTGGGCTGAAAGAGGGGAAAGAATGGGGATATTAATTAGAATAACGATTAGCAGTATTGACTGATAATTGACTACATTTAATTATTAATATTGTTATAAAGATTAGCAATAAGATCTCTCAAATTTTCACTTAAATGATTGAATCTGGCAACAGTAGCCGAACATGCTACATTTTGAAAATGGGAATTACAGATTATTCCAGTTTCTCAGACTGCACTGGGCTGTTTTTCATATGTAATGTCAGAAAAATAAGAAAATTACATATACATACACTCTCATACACATAACAACCTAGACTTCCCTTTTGGCTTAAATAGACAGTTCAAACTGGCATACATTTTACTTGTTCTTTCTCTTAAACAATCAATGTCTCCAATTTTACTAGTGTGAACATGCGAGGAGAAGAATTAATAGAATTCATCAGGGACTCTATAAATTTGCCTGGGTCCTTTATTACAAATCTTTTCCCAATGCAAGCTTTCTAAATGTAAATTTCTTCTGTCCAAACTTTTTAAAGAAGTGTAGCTACCTTGTTTTCTAACCTGATCTTCTGAGATGTGTGTTATTTTTCTGATCCTTTTCTCATAGCCCAATGCCTTTTTTTTTTTTTTTGGTAGATTCTGTTTAGTGCTGCCAAGGAGTCTATTTGGGTGACATCCACTTTGAAAGACCTCCACAGTAGATTTTTTAACATCCTTAGAGACAAATGTTCATCTCCTACCGAAGTAATGGCTGTGTTTGTTAACAAGCTCACCTAAAGAGTCCCTGAAGTACTGCAACTTGGGAAGAGTCATCAGAAAGTCTTGTAGATTTATAGTCCCATCAGCTGGTAGAAAAAGAAGATACATGAAGGAATCGTTAAGTGACAAAAATGTCCGGTCGTAAAAAAATTCCTAGATAAGAGAGGGTTGGATTGTTATATAGCAATTATTATGAGGCCTTGGGCAAATTTATGTGCCCAGTTTTTCAAACTACATAACAACAAATGTGATAAAGGACTTTCTTTGTAATCATCTAAACTTTGTGATTATAAATAATGACTTTTATTATATGTGTTATTATGCAGTTTCTTCTGTCAGGGTTATTTTATTTACAATACTTATGACCAGATGTGAATGCTTTCATGGTCTTGAAGAATATCTACATTATGAATATAAATCTTTATCAATTTTTCTGGAAAGGAATTTCAAAACCTATAGTGTGATATTCTTAACTACCACTACAGCTTGCTATAATATTTTTTTTCCACTCAACCCAGATACTGAGTTTACCAAACCAGAATACATGCTTATTCTCACCTTATCAAAAAATAAAACAAAACAAAAACCTTACCATCCACATGAATGTCATGCAAAATTTCTTGGATATTTTCCTCTGTCAAATGGAGACCCAACTTATTCAAGGTGTCCTGCAGTTCATTTACATGTAGCCAGTCACCATGCACTGTGTCAGCAATGGTAATGGCCTGCTGTAAAGCTAGAGAAAGATGAGAAGAACAAAGTTTCAAGGAAATGCACTGTAAAGAAGAGGCCAGTATACCCTAAAGGAATTTCACCCACATTATATCTGCTCTCTTATCCCAAGAGGAAAATGGAGAAATGGCTAATTCTAGAGGGGTATCATGTTACTACAGTACCTTGCAGTAAAATTAACACAAAATCTGACGCCATAGACCTACAATATTTTGTACTGTAAGCCTTTATGGGCCAGAGTCTACTTGGTCAAAGACATGAAGAAATGCCAACAACCAGATCTCACACTAAGACCTTTAAACCCCCTTTTAAAGGCCATCAGACTTCCACAGAGACAGAGGGAGGAAGGGAGCTGATTCTAGGGTCCTGGGCCAGGTCCTTAAAGACCTGGAACCTGGATACTGTGACCCCAGAGTGAGGAACCAGAGGAAGGCCCAGCTGAGAAGAATGCAAAGAACTAACAGGATTCCAGGGAGAAATAAGGGCATGTAGATGCTGGGGAGTTTGTGACTGGGGTGCTCTACATATAAGCACCAGTACATTAGACTGGGCTCTGGCTTGAAGAAGGAGCCCCCTAAAACAAGTAGCATTTATTACATTTGTCTTCTGACTAAAAGATTCAGATTAATTTGAACTTACCTTCCATTTCAGTGAAATCCTTTGTTTCACCCAATGCTAACAAAAACTCTTTGAAATCTATTTTGCCATTTTCTGAAAAACATTTTGTTTTTTATTTAATGCACAGGACAATTCTGGGACAGAGGAAAACACACATAAAGTAGATTCTTGTTGTCTGGTGGGAATTGCACATATTGTAATGGCTACATAAAAATGGAAGAACACATTAAGCTGTTGCTAACATTTTTATATTCCCTTTTCTCCCAGTAAGATGATTGTCATAATCATATATTTCTCTGTGGACTAGAAAATAATCTTACTTGGTTAAGGATGTGATTTACAGTGTTTTCAACCAAATTTGTGGTTGTTTTGGCCTTTAACTTTTGTGCATCTTGGAGAAGAGTATTTGTTAAAACTTAAATTATGCAAGATAAATAGGTTACCCCTAATCCTTACTCTTTTTTAAAAACCAGAGAGCAAAGAACAAGAGAGAAAATGATAAGGCTGCAAGGATAGATGGTATAACTGGATAAATGTTAAAATGTGGTTTGCTGATGGAGTGGTTGCATAACTTGTTTAATATGTGTGAAGATTAAATCTGCGCCTGATTATTTTTATAGTTCTGCTACACAAACGCAAGGAGCAAATGCAAAAATTGCAGAGGAATTAGTTTATTAAGTGTGTCTGGTAACGTTCAGCAGAATTTTCATGAAATGGGTATGGGGTGACCATAAGCAAAATTTGGGAAATGTAGTGTGGCTTTATGCTCCAGAGGGGATGCATAGACCAGGTTCTTGCTCCTCATCTCTAAGGAATGGAAGAATCTGAGAAAGAAAGTGAGTTGTATTTTTGCCAATTTAGAAAAATTGCATGATAATGGGAATAGTCTTGAATTAAATAATTTTTGCATGGAGTTGAAGGTTCACAGCTGAATGCGGTAAAGGCAGTGTATGATGGAAGCACGAATGAAGTAAATGGAATGCTTTGCAAATGGTTCAACAATGAGCAGAAAATAAAACAAGAACACCCCCATTTCTTCTGTGGACTCAGCTGCCTCTTATTTGACCATTATCTAGTTTGTGGCTCTTCCTCCTGTCTCCCAAGGTCATTCCCATATACTGTTACATCTATATAAGAGCAAGCTTCTTGAAGTGAGAATTGGGCGTGTGACGAGAAACTTAAAAAGTTGAGTGCTGTGAGAATGGGATACTTAAGTATGGGTGGTTAAAACAAGAAGTGGTAGGAACAAGAATGAAGAGGTGACAAATGAATGTGAATTGAATACAGAATTATGTGACCAGCACCAAAGAAGTATGTTGAAATGGTTGGGTGATATAGAGGGAATAAATGAGGGTCAAACTGCAAAACCACACATAAAGGGAGAGCAAATGGGTCATGAGGAAGGAGAAGACTGAGAAAGTCATTTTTGGAAGTAGTTGATGAGATCTTCACAAAGATGAGGTTTAAAAAGGCAAGTATGAAGCAACATGGTTTTCCAGGACAGAAAGGTATGGAATGATTAATATTGTGAATGGTATAAGTAGTCTTCACTTAGCGACCAGAATTGGAACTGGCAACTCTGTCACCAAGCTCTGCCGTCACTAAGTGGATAATCACATGATCTTGATGGACTTATGATGTCATTTCCCATTCAGTCATTAAGCGAGACATCACATGACCAAAACTTGCAATTTCACTTCCACGGTCTCCCTTAACTCTGCTTGTCTGGAGCCAGTTAGGAAGCACACAAATGGGGATCATGTGATCTCAGGATGCTGCAACGGTTGTAAATGTGTGCTGTTTGCAAAGCACCCATATGACAATCATGTACCACAGGACACTGTGACAGTTGTAAATGCGAGGATTGGTTGCAAAGTTGTTTTTTTACATCGTCGTAACTTTGAATGGTCACTAAACAAGGCAGTCAGTAAGCAAGGACTACCTGTATTGATATGAATGTGATTTCACTATATTTCCTGTTCTTTGCCTGAGGCCATGCCTTTAATTTCTTTGGCTTTTTTTTCCTTGTTCTTTTTCAGCACTTCGTATAACTTTGCTTTCCCCCAAATATGCTGGCTATGTATTATGCATGCCAATATGTAACCTAATTCCAGTTTGTGCATTTGAAGGACACTACAGAACTCTGCAAAATTCATACTCCTCCTTGGTGAGGTGAGGATGTGCCATTTTTCATGAACTATAAAAAAAAAAGGATGACTGCTCTCACTGACTGCCCATGGAGGCAGCCTTCTTTTTTCTCTATAGATACAGAGTAAGGAAGATGCAAGGAGCATCAAAAGCAAAACATTATACTTGTCTATTGTCTGCTGCTAAACTGCTATAGAACTATTCACTGAATGATATATTCATTCATTCATTCATTGTATAGCTCAATATTCAACTCTACAGATTTTGAATTGTCCATTTAAAGCTTTTAATTTTAGCATAACCCAGGCAATGCCTTTCTGCAGGAAAAGAAAGAGAGACAAAGAGTAAGGCTTACTCACCATCAGTTTGGATGGCTTGAACTATCTGATTGAAAGCTGAACTAGGCAAGTGTACCTCCATATTCTCTAGAGTATCCTCCAACTGTTTGACACTCATCTTCTCTTCTTTGATGTTTTCAACAACCTTTGTGGCATCTTGTAATGCTGGAGAACATGAATTGGTAGAAGAAAGAGGAGGCTGCCATAATTCTCAGATCACCCGTGCTTTGCAGAGAGAAGCAGAGGTTGAGAAGCAGGATATCTGCCAAGCCAGGACATGATTGTTGAGTGGCCAGCAAAGGAAAGAGACACAGGAGAAAGCTGGCCCTGGGAACTGACTCTCATCTTTTTTGTTTATCCCCATATTACTTGGTATTTGTAGAACTTCTGCCCTCTGCCTTTCATGCACAATTTGAGCCTTCTTCCTTCACACTTCAACTGCTTACCTCTGAAGTCAGAAAAGTTGGGGGCACTGGACAAAATCTTGAGGAATTCCATCCCATGTAGCTTCCCTGATTCTTCAATAGTTTGAGCAAAAAAGGAAAAACCAACAAACAAGAGATCAGCAAGGAAAGATTCCACTGGTTGACATTTGCATGAAATAGTCATTTATTTACATAAACTAGCTCAGTATTTAAGTTGTCTGAATTGCTCCACTGCTTGGGAGATGAATGGAATCATCCAACCATGAAAAAAAAAAGAAACATACATAAAGTATTCCCCTGTATAAATACTAGATAAATTACCCCTAGGGATGCACAAGAATGTGCTCGTGAAAGTAGGACGGACTTTCCAAAGATCCAAAGAACACATACACCAAGTTCAGAGGTTGTTGAGAATTATCAAGGAAGCACCTTTGTTGAGTAGGTGAAAGGCAGAGGCAATGGCAATCACAAGCAGCAATAGGTGGAAGAAAATCTTTTTCTATCACAGGGTGCCCTTGGGACTGGGTCTTCATACTGAACATTCCCACTAGGAAAGTGATGGGATGTGTGCTGTCTCCTGCCACACAGACGTTGGAGCCTTTAGCTCCACTCGTAGTCATAGCAATTGTGTCACTGCATGTGCTACTTCTATCAAAGAAGCTTGGAGAGAAAAACATTGCATGATCTGAACATTAATGACATTGCCCTTAATTAAAGTCAACTGAATGATAAGGGATAGAGAAGGGTCCTCAGAGGGTGCAGTGTGTTTTTTTCCCCCCCTACCAAAACAATATATTTATTGATGCTAGTCTATATAATAAATATTTGATCTGATCTGTATATATTTATTAACTGCATCTGCACTCTTATGTGGTCTCCCATCCAGGTTCTCACTGAGCTTTGTACTTGCTTTGCCTCAGCAGATTTGGAGCCTCAGATGCTTCCAGATCATTCATCAATGTTGCCAGTTGTGGCCACATTCTGCCCTATCAAACTGGATGGCAGACAATGATCATCAAATGCACTGTAGTTGCATGGTTTGGCCACTTCATTTACACTTTCCTATTCTGGATTCATCTTTTTAGTCACTTCAGAATCTAAGCCACTGAGAGGAGAATGAGATAGAATACTGGGATATTAGAGAAAGAAATAGCCAGAGGAACTGGGATGTCTGTGGGTGAGGGATGGAAGCTGTGACCATGTGGTAGAAGCCCCCCCCCCTGCTTTTTTAGGCGCGTAAAAAAGGAGGCTTCAATTGCATGGATGTGGCTGTCATTTTGCCTGCAGGTGTCCTTGCAAAGAAACACACCTTTGTCAGTTCTATCTTCAAAAATATTTAATGGAGGTTGTTAACAGCCTTTGAACAGAAAAGAAAGGCATTTTTTTCCAATAATCCATCAATTAATTAAAGACTTACCATCAATGGAAGCAGATGCCAGAACTGCCTGCAGTTCATCTGGTGACAAGTGGCTGCCCAAGTTTTCTAGGGCATCTAGCAGGTCTTCCTTTTTAATATCCTCTTTGACAATCTTGTGGATAGTATTGAAAGCATTCTGTAAAGCTGCAGGAACCAAATTTCAGAATGACTTCAGCCATGCTTATTCCCAGCATATTCTTCAACACTCCCAAATAAGGTTTGAAGCAAAGCAATTTTATGAAGCCAGACTTAATGTTGATAGAATGGACCCTTTCAATGGAAACAGGGAAATCTACTCCCACCTGGACAAACCAATGATGGTAATTACTGGAGCTCATCCAAGCGATCCGTTCATCTCCTGAAAATGATGTGGTGAAGTGATCTTGAAATACAGGGAAGACTTGCCTGGTGGAGACAGTTGACGATAGTAGCATTTCAAAGTGATACTTCCCATGAATCATTTAGGATGTGAGAACCAATTTCAGCCCTTCAACATATGGCAGATCATACTGTGTGTCCTGATTTCTCAGAAGTTGTGGCCAACTCACTACTTTTGCACATGAACTCTTGAGCCTTCCCTAACCTTGTACTTTGCAGGGTGTGTTGAGACTGTAGATACCAGAATTCCAGGATAAAAAAAATGCAGACTTAATGTGAACGTTACCACCAACTTGGTATAAGGAGGTATTCAAGTTTGGATTAATTTCCCTGCTCCCAGAAAGGTAGGAAATAGGACAAGCAGAAGTGTGGGCATTCCTCAAGAGAAAACTGACCTCACATATGTCACAAAGTCATTGTAGAACTGATGCAAATGATTACTTACATCACTTACATCATGATGCCATGACACAACTGACATAAACTATAGCATTCATCCTATTTGTGGAATGATGGCATGACACATATGCTTCTACCAGCATAAAGGAATTTTATGACTGACCTTGGGGATAGGGCAGGAATGAGTGAGCAGTTAAGGGGAGAAGGAATAAGTAAGCTGTTAAGGGGAGAGTTGCAGAAAAGATCATATGGTCCTGAGAAAGAGGGAAACATGAGAAAGAAATTCAGAATACACCCCCACTGCCCTCTTGATATAAAATGGGACAGAGGGAAACGTGGACTGGCTTTAAAGATTCTGTTACTCTACTACAATAAAGAACATTTCTGAAATCCCTGATATGCTTCTTTCTTAACCCAGCCTACCCCAAAAGGCTGACAACTGGACACCAATGGCAGAAGTCCTCTGTACTTTATGCTCTCTCAGGCTCTTTGCTTCAGTTCTGTTCAGTGACTAAGCTTAGTAGAGACTATGCAGGAGCCCATCAAAAGCCAATATGAAGGATGTTTTTTCCCTTCTGTTTATGTTATTGTATTTATTAATCAAATTTACATTCTGCATTTTCTCCAGGAGCTCAAGGCACTATACAGGGGGAATCTTTCATTTTATCCCCACATCAACCCTATGAGATAGAATGGGCAAAGAGAATATCTGGCCCATAGTCATCCAGTGAGTTTCCATAACCCAGGATGGACCTGAACCTGAGTCTCCTCAATTTTATCCCAGTAACCTAACTACAATATCACTAGGTAGTGATAAACTAGACAAATAATGTTTGGTCATTACATTGTAGGCCTATATGTGGTTTGAAAATAATTTGTAAGAAGAGCTTCAGATCTCACATGACCACAGACAGTAAGGTACTGAACTTGCATAAGGTCCAAAGCACATCTGCATCATCTTTGAAGCACATTGAACCTTGCTCTGAATCCTTTCCCATTTGAACTCTGAAATGTCTTTACAAAGAGATATGATGTAAATAACAATTTGGTGGGTAAGTAAAATATATATTCAGTTTCCATTTTAAGGCAAACATATCTAATGTTGTACTTTTGAGCAATAAATAAATGGAAATTCAGTTTTATTTTGAAATACTTTTCTGAATTTTGCAATTCTGTTACCCAATCAACAGATTAAACAAGCTTCATATATTAGAGGAAAGTGTGCAAAATAAGGCTATAGAAGAGGAAGTAATTTAAAAATATATGGTATATTAGGGAAAATTAGTTTCAAAAAATTATATATGAATATTAGGATAAATGCTCCCAAATGTATATGAATGTTCATGTGGGATTAAAACTTAAGCTGAAATTTAAGTTGGAAAAGTTGGAAGCTGACCAATTTATTAGTATCTATGCAAATGTCATGCTTCTGTTCTTACCATGAAATTCTTCAAAGGACTCTGTACCAATTATTTCCTTCATAATGTCATTAAAATTTACTTCCCCATCTCCTATAAGGAACAGAATGGCAAAAAGGTTGAATGGGAGAAATCACAATCTATACATGGCAAATCTAGGTCTTGAAAATATTTCTGGAATATTGCTTTGCTGTCCAGGATGAAGAAGGTCACCATGTTCCCTGATACTATAGCTGCACAGTGATTAGAGATCTTATGGTAATACTTGGGCTTTATATAATGCTCAAGATTATAATCCTAAGCAAATTTACTGAGCATCACCAATGAATACAGTTGATTTACTTCTAGTAAACATGCCAAAATTTGAATTATTAATACAATTAATGTACTTATGCAAGATAAATTATTGTAGATTAGGTAGTAAGAAAACTAGGCAAAATCATCCTTAAGAAGTAACTGTAACTGAACTGAAAACTCAAAACCTCTTAGTAAGCTACTAAAACGTTGGCCTTCTTTAATTTGGTGCAGTCCAGATGGGTTGCAATTCTCAGAATTTGCAATCTAGTGTAAGTGTGTATTCTCACACTGATAAAGAAGTTAGTAGCCATTGTGTAAACAATATCAAAGTGTCAGCTGGCCTTTGTTCTAAGAAAAAGTAGGCTTTCCCCCTCCCCCATCGAAACCATAGGAGAAATAGAGCAAGGAACTGTTTTCAATTTCCTATACTGTATATGGGATTCACATTTGAAAGCAACAATCATTAGAATTCTTGTGCTGTTACCTTAATCTTTTATTTTAATAAATCTTACTAATTAGAACCCAGGGAGGTAAAGGAATCTGTTCCTAAACATGATGACAACAAAATGATGAAATGTGTATCATGATGACACAACACCTGTACTTTGTACTTGCATTGCAACATTGCATACAAGTATGTATGGGGCAGAGTTTGTGTCATGATGTTGCAACACACGTTTTGTCAGTTCTACCCAATCCCATCAATGCCTATCCAATTTTGATTGCTGCCAGAGGGTTCTGACACCTACGTGCCCAACAGCCATATTGGGAGTTGTAGTTCTAACATATCTGGAGGATTCCAAATTAGTGAAAGCTGATATATGAGGGTTGACATATGGCCTCCTGATGTATAGCTATGTGATGCCACCAGGAGCGTGTTTCATCATGATCACTTCCAACAACTCCAAGGAAAGACTAAACCAGTGTTAGAATTCTTATAGCTCCTTGCTGCCATCTAGTGTCCATCTGCAGGTTTGCAGTCCGTATCTGTTAGCTCTACACTAGAAGGAATTTTATTTTGCTTTTTCCTCCAGTAATGGCAATATAAAGGAATATGTTTTATTATTTAAGTATTGATAAAATACGTGCATGCTGGAATGCTGATATTGAAACAAGTACTTTAAATCTCACCAGTGACTGTTACTGAGTCGCATAGTGACTGGATTTCCTCTGGTGTCAAGTTGATACCCATGCCGGTCAAGGTTTTTGCCAGGTCATTGACATTAACATTATGGTCTCTGATATTACTCATTGCATCAAAAGTATCCTTCAGCACTGCCAAAGAAAGATTTGGTCCATTTGTATCCACATGATATTCAGCTGCACATTTAATTCACTTACTGAAATACTAATACTGTTCCTCTTACATTAAAACAGGATCTCGGGTGCTACATTGAACAAACTCAAATGAGGGAGGGAAAGAGTTAAATTGTCCTTATTCCATCTTTATTTATCTTCAGCTTCCTACAGCTGCTTTGCATTTACAGTAAACAAAATCAAAAGTCAAGACAAAGATTTATCCAGCAGCAATGTCTGCAGCTCTTTAAAACAACCACATCTTTTCTCAGGACTGTGCCAGGAAAAGACCCAGCTGCTTTAAAGAGTTGAAAAAGGTGTTATATTTCCACCCTACACACAATGAAGTACTTTTTTAGAATCAAATCTGAACAGTTCCACAACAGACCACCATTTTTGTGCTTGATATTGCAAGTAAATTTCAAGACTCGAGACTGAATACTGTATGCTCTAAGGTATGATGGGTGGCCAATTTTCCCTCTGAGAGTTGAACTCACAACACATTTGGAGGACACCAGGCTGGGGAAGATGACACAAGGGACACTACAAAGAAAGAGATCACAGCTCTGGAACAGGGAAATAGAATATTAGTTGGCCTTACCAGATGCTTCTGGAATCTCTGGTATTACAGTTAAAACCCTTATGAATTCTTCTAAATTAACCTTGCCATTACCTGCAAGGCAAAAGATGGAAACGATCACTATAGATTTACAGTAATTTCGGAGATGCCACCTTATACTAAGAATGCTTACTGTCAACTTTGGCTATATTCATCACTTCCTTCAGTAATTCACTGGCCCTGGAGAGTTCCATAGTGTTCAGGCTGGATTGCAGAGCCTGGAGATCAAAGGGGTCCTCTTTGAGCTTGCTCAGGACCAAGCAGATTAGCTGCAGTTCTGTAAAAACATCACTCCAAGGTCAACAAAGCACAAGAAAAAAGCTTTCCACTGAATCATCAGCATCACCTAGTCAACATGACTAGGATATTTAAACCATCTGCCATCCCTAAGCTGGCTAGGGATGATTAGAGATGTAACTTCAACAAATCTGGAGCTACTGTAAGTAAGTTAGGAAAGGTTGGCCTATACTAGTAAATATATTATGAAAAAAACCAGAAAGAAGAACTTATTCAAACAATTTCCCATTTTCAGTTCAGCAAGCTGTTTCCAAATCTTCCTTTTGGGTTACTCAAATTCATAAAAACCAAGTCTGTTAATGGTTATTCGTAGTAGTATATGACCTACATACGTATATAGGGGCAGACAAATGTGAGAGCAAAAATCCAAATATGACAGTTTCTGGGGGATCTGGACAGCAATTAATGGAAATCTATAGTAGTGGATTACATTAACTTTGATCCAAAATCATGTTCTTCTTTTTCTGTTCCTCTGATGTCCTCTCTTTTCTCTACTGTCACAAAGCTCCTTTTCCCACCTGAGACATTCCTCCTTACTTGTTTATCAAGCTGCCTCTTCTTTCTTCTCTTAGTAATTGATTGCAAAAATTAAGATAGTTTGTACTTCTAATACTTAAATATAGTTTCAAACAGGTCTTCACTCACCTGGCCTAATAACAAAAGTGTTAGTATAGATCACACCCCTGATGAATTCTTTTAGATCTACTGTATTGTCATCTGAAAATGGAAGGGGAATGGAAAGAAGGCACAGAAAAATAAGGAACAGAAGAATAATTGGTGTGTATATTATGTATTATATAATATAATATAATATAATTTTATTTTATTAAGGATTTGGATTACAATAGTAAAATCTAATACAAACTAAAAGAAAGAAGAACAGAAAGAAAGAGTGAAAGGTGCAAAGGAAAAAAAAACAGAAAATAGAAAGAAAAATAAAGAAGAGAAAAGGATATAGTAAAGAAAGAGAAAAGAAATATATAAAGAAGTGACTTCCAACCTTCATCATAACAAATATGAACAATTTTAGTAACTCTTCATCCCCTCTTAGTTTATGACCAATGATCTTTTCATCCCATATCCCATCTCTTATCTATAGACAAATCCATAAAGCATCATCTTTTCAGTTCTGGTGTTAGCAGAAAGTCCATTAAAGTTTACCAGAAATAACAACGTATTTTATTTTAACCTTGATCAAATAAACCAACTTTATATTCCTTCCTTTTACTTCTAATAGTCTTAATCTTTACTCCATTCAAATAATGTTGTAGAATTTGATTTCTTTTCATTTCTCCTTTGTTCCTTCTCACAAGATTCTTCAAAGCTTTAACAAGCCTCTTTTGTAAATCCAATATAAAAAAATTATCCAAGTCACTCTCTTGGTTTATTATTTGTATTTCCTTTTTGATTTTTGAAATGTCAACCAGTTCTTTTGTATGTCCAATGAGACATTCTTTTCCATGTCATTCTCATAGCTGTCATTTGTAGATCCACTTTCAATGCCCTCTCTGTTTTGTCAGATAAAACTTGTTCCTCATCTGCCATTTCTTCCATAATATCTTTTGGACACAGTCTAGCCATAGAAGCAAACATTGCTATTGACATTATTGATACTAACTTCTGATTCCATTTTTCAAAAATGTACTTCAGTATTTTCAATGTTGTAATGTTTTGCATTATTTTATAATCCCAGTTAATTAGCTGACAATCAGGCTTGTGTATTTTTCTTCTTTAGCTAAAATCTTTAGTTCCCTTTAGCGTTCAATTTTTAAAATCACTTATCTTTATTGTGTCTTGCAAAAAGTCCAAACAAATCTATTTCCCAATAGAAGGATTCTTTATAATTAATTCCAAAATCTTATTCCAAATTTATCTGTACCCTTAATCCATTTATAACTTTCTAGGATCAAATTCTTATTTAGCTTTTTGCTGTTTATTTCAATTTTTAAAAATTCTTAAGATTAACATTTTCTGTCATTAAGGATTGAAGGCAAATGTACCTGGCATTTTCAGATTTGTTGATGTGAAGGTCTCTAATAGCTTAAAAGTAGGTAACAAGCAATTTCCAAATGTAATTAGAAAAAGAAGTTTGCAAACTTAGTGTCCTTTAAAAGGTGCTGACCACAGTTGCGAGCAAGATGGCTATTCCTGCCATCTCCCAGTGCTCAAATCCTGCCAGGGACTGCTGTCTTGCAGTCTCCTTATGAGGAGCAACTGTTCAGAGCACATGTGGGCCATCTCCCATCCTCTCCTTGTCCTGAGTGGTTCCAAAGAGACACTCTACTCATTGGCTCTTCGTTCTTTGCCATGATCAGTCCACCATTTCTTCCTCTGGAAGTCCTCATTGTGTATATTATAGATTCTCCTCTTTTTACAAAACACACACACACTCTCTCTCTCTGTTTTGTAGTATCTGTGGTTTTCCTTTACTGAGAGAATAGTATTTTTCTTCTTCTGACCATCCTTTCACAGCTACATATCCCAGCCTCACCTCCTGAACAGGTATCTTATCCCTAAAAGCCACAAGAGAGGTACACACCATCAATATTGCAAAAGGCCAATGCCTCTGACACCTCCTCTGTTGGCAAGTTGATGCTGAAGCTTTGCATAAGCACCTGCAACTCTTTGAATCCCATCCTTCCATTTTTCATTTTGGTCAGGATATCAAAACCATCCTCCAAAGCTAGAGGAGATAGAGACATAAAAGGAAAAGAGGTTGAACCAACAACCAAACATAAGTGATGCTGGATAATTCAGATTAATTTATGGAACACATTTAATCTACACTGACAGACTGACTGCAGCTCAAGGTAGTTTGAAGCAGTTTCTGGGTTAGTACCAACATGGATGCTATTGAGAACTACTGTTTAAAAATGATACACAGTGACTTTTTGTTAAAATAATCCCTCACCCTCGTTCAAACACAAGTACAACATGCAGAACTCTCAGGATGGGTATCATGACAAGTATGCCCTATTTGCACAACACATTTAAGAGAGGTGGGGTAGTCGCATGTGGTCTGAATTGGACAGGGGTAGCTGTTGCAGTGGGGGCAAAGGGATATAAACCAGCTGTGTTGTACAAATCGGTTAGTGTGATGGACTGGAATGGTGGGAGGGGAGTAAAGAATGTGCTCTCATCTCCAGAGGAGCGAGGAAGAGATAAGCGGAAGAGACTGGCACCTCCCTAAGAAAATCCATCGGTGTGAACTGGCTGAGCCTGGGACCTGGTTTCAGTCTGGCAACATTCTTGTCGGGCCTAGCCCA